ACGAGTGGGTCCTCTGACAGATCGGTGTACGCGTCTATGCCACTATATATAGATTTATGGAAAGCGTTTACAAATTTATTGTTTCCTTTACTCGGCTGGTAGAAAACTTCGTCTTCTTCAATAGCGATACCTTCCGGTTACACTTACATTCAGTGTTTACCAACTACAAGTTGTTTATTTTCCATGCGAGTTGAGATCTAGGGTCCATAAATTTTTGTTGTGGTTTTAGAGCATGCTGTAAACTTTACAAGCCGCATTAATAAATGTAGAAATATGATCTTTTATATATAGAAGTCTCACAGTTTTGGAAAATCGTATCATTAGAATCATTTTTAAAATCGAATTGCACTCTCTCCTTAAGCACGGCGATTAGAAAGACGTAATTCGCTACCAGTTATGTACGAGAAACCTTTTTTTATGGTTTTTATCTGGATTTCTAGAGGTTTCGAAAAGTAATGCGAAAGCGCATGCTATTTAAATAGTCATCTTTTGCAGTCCAGTTTTGGTGAACGGATAGAAAGAAGCTTATTCGAAAGTGGGCCCTCGGACGTGGCCGAAATAGCAGGGTAGTGGGGGAGTTTCCTATTCTCGTGTATTATCAACATTTTTAGGAAGTCTTACCGTGTGGATACTAATGGAACATAACTAATGTTATGAGGTATAGGGTAAGGGAAAAATGTTTATGGAAAGTTCTCCCCCCTTCCTCCGCCCACCACATTGGACAACCTCGTTTAGCAAGGAATGTATTTCTGTATGAAAAAAGATAATTGGTTTGTACTCAAAATATGGAAATTGTCATTACATCAGACCACTTCCTTTTTGTTTCAAACAATGCACTTAAAAGCCTTATAAAAAAAATAAGGTTGCGAATGAGTTGGCCTCCTTTCTCCCGCTTCTCCTTCTACTTGTCGCTCATAACCGAGTCCATATACACTTTAGTGCATCTTTTCAAATGAAATGAAGAGGTATCTTCCTGTGTACGGGTGATGGATACCCCACAGTCCAGGCGTCAGATTTTCTGTGTACTTTACTGACCAGGCTCTCATTCTTTTATTTATTGCCTATAGCAAGAAGACCGTCCCACCTCCGCCATGGCTCTGGCCCACCCCTTCTGCTCCTCCGTGCGCAATCCCAACGCCATTATAAGTGAGTTGGTTCAGTTGGCGCTGGCCAACGCCAACGAGGAGAACCAGATGCGACCACGCCTGCGGAAGGCCCTCTGTGATAATGGCTACAGTGGGCACGAAGAGTCCAGTC